AGTCCGTAAGGGTCCACAAATTAAAAGAATCAAAAGGTTTTTTCATAAAAATGAATCCAAGTTGGGATTATTGTGGTTGCTGGCTACAAAATCTAAGGTAGGCTAATGGTAATTCTGAAATGTCTCTCTCTCTCTCTCCCTACATTAGGCTGTCTCGCTATTTCCCATCTTTGCTGAGCAAGAGTTTTAAAGGAATTAAAGGCCTGTCCCATATAGAGGCCTGTTCCAAATAAAGGCAGGTTGAGGTCAGTGATTAAAGCAAATAAAAGCCTGGACTATTGCTTTAAGTTTTAGTGTATTATTCATTTGTAAAGCCCAATAACAATTTCCATAAACAGATTAATATAAATATACAGTATAAACGCAGGAAATAGCACTCACATGTTGAAAGGGTTTTTTGTTGAAGATTGTTTTACTTCCTCCCCACTTCTAAAACCAAACCTACACAACAGACAATATCAAACTATTTCAAAGAACCACATGTGCTGTCAAACATTTCCCCCTATTGTCAAGATGTAAACACATTTAGGCTTGGTTTTCAGTCAAACACCGTGCAGTGAGTCATCTCCAACCTTTTATCATTCTACCTCAAACAACACGAGGCTTGTAAGAGAGCGCGCCACGCACAGACAGCACGGGCTGCGCAGTGAACACACTCAAAAAGAGGATTAAAGTTGTTGTGACGTTCCATGACACTCCATGGTCATACATTCTATCCGCATATTTTCATATATTAAGCATTTCCACCAACACAGTGCTTTCCTTTGTCACATGTTAAACCCTTGACTCATCCCTCACCCACTCATATGTTGGGCTGCTGTAGTGTGGACTGTCAAATAAGCAAAGTTTTAAAAATCCTAATCCATTCCCTTACTTTCTCTCTTTTCTAGAAATCCAAGGATGGCCAAGAGGCACTCTTTCTTTCTTTTTCTCTATGACTACAGCCCGCGTAGCATCTATCCTCTGCTCTTCTCTACCACCTTTTTCTCATTTCCTTTCCTCCCCTGACAGCAAACCAAAGATAACCTCTAATAGACTACAGTTATTTCATTTTTTTCTGCTTTTTTTCCCCCCATTCTCTCTCCGCCACTATCTTTTCTTCCACTCCCTCAGCAAGCAGAGGATTATTCCTTGTAGATTAACAGCCTGACTTTGTCTTCCTGGTCTCTACCCTTTTCCCTCCTCTGGCTCTTCCTCTCTCAACTCCCTTTTCTAGCAGTTCCTCTGCTTTAATCTCACCTGTATCTCTCATTCTTCTCTTATTCATCTCTCTCTTCACCACCGGGGAACAGTGGATCACCTCCAGTGGACCGCAGCCGCGGTGTGATTAGGAGCAGCAGTTAAGATGACAGAGCAATCATCTGAACCTACTGTACACGGCTGCGGAGGGAAACCGCGACTCTTGGTATTACACGAGCGGCTTTGATCACAGGGATGAGTGTCATCATCTGCTGATCCAATGAGTGCACCCTATGCATGCGTGCATATGTGCACAAACAGCTTTAAAGCCTACCCCAAAGTGGGCTAATAACACTGTCAAAACAAACTCTTTTATATATCACATTTGGGCATTTATCTGTCGCCTCTTCACTTCAGCTGCTGTTTTTGTTTCCTCTGTTGTTTCTAAGTGCTAACGCCACCCAAGTGCTAACCAAAGCCGCCTTAATCAATTCACTGTCGTCAGTGGCGACGATGCCTTTCAACTGCCTCCCTTTTAAATGAGATTTGCAATAGAAAAGAGGCACCGGCCTGCTGTATTCAGTGGCAGGAGTCTCCTTCAGCTCTCTCAAGTCGCCCGTCTGTGATGTCTGTGCATGCGCGCGCGTGTGTGTGTGTGCGTGTGTGTGTGCTATCTCCAGTGTCAGTTGCAGCAGATGCTTCAGCAGAGGGGAGCCACACATCAGCCTTGATATTCCCCCATTAGCATATCAGCATCCCCTCTTTTTCTCCCTCCCTCCCTCCTTTACTCACGCTGTCAGAAATTGATGATCTGCAATTACACAGCATGTGTCAGAGCAACTAAACACCATTTAATAGCCCCAAGCTGACAGTACATGACTGAGCGAGCAGAGAGAGGCACCAGAGTCACCAGAAAAGTAGGCCTACCGTGTTCTCTGTCGCGTACACAAGCCCAAATAGCTGGCACGCAAGAAAAAGTCCAGCCTATAGAATAAAAGAGCGTGTTTAACATTCCACAGTACACCTGTTCCATATATGATACAGTACATGGCTGTTAAAGGAATAATGTATTAATAACATGAGCTATTAAGACGTACTTATGGTAGAGATGAACACACATGCAGCATTATCATAGGAATACTCTCATACTGGCATTAGTATAGTTCATACAAGTGATGAAGGGTGTGTTAATGTCACTGTAAGCTCATCTACTACCCACCACAGAACACATTTCTACATTTTAAAACGTATATCTTTATCAAATCATTGTTTTTCATTAGTGGCAATGGTCCATGAGCCATTTCACTGCGCTAAAAAGAAGAAAAAAGAAAAGTTTAAATGACTATTTCCTGTTAAAGCCGCACAATTATTCCATTGGGACAGTCCCTTAACTCCAGCAACTTGTCTATTGTTACTCTCAAATGCTATAAGTTTAGAACAAACTTACCTCCTCCAGTAGCAGTGTAATATTCACAGGAACCCCCCATAGGAAAGAGCTATATGACACTTTGATTATGTGTATTACAGCAGCACAGTACTACAGGAATGAGCTTCATGCAGTTATGTTACTTACGAAATGCGACTCCTCTGAGGCTTTATCGAACTTAATCCTTAATTCTGACAGAGTGAGCCCACAAACACACACACACACACACACACAAGCGCGCACACATGCCCCCCTCACACACACATAGAAACACACTCACACATGCAAGGTGCTGCGGACTGTTGCGCTGTCCCTCCTCCGTACTCTGCGCTGGACTAATGCGCGAGCTTCCTCAACTATCACCTGCCATGTGATAGGCACGATGCCTTCACGAGCCCCTCGGAATATCCCGCGCGCTCTTCTAATGCCCGTCATTAGATTCATTCGAGCTTTTTGTTAAGATAATGAATATATGATATAGATATGGAGCCAAGTGCCACGGAAGTAAGGCAGCTCATTAATTATTACTTTAATGCGAACAAAACTAATGAATTAAAGTGAAGAAATATGTTTCTTCTCTTTCCCACAGTGTGATGTTCAAGGGTGCAGAATGATCTATGTGCACAGTTTGACACTAGAAGGATGGTCCAGTGTGCAGTTTAGCACATCCACTGACAATGGACTTACAGTGAAGGAGGAGACATCTTGTGGGGGAAAAAAATACATATTAATAGAATGTGGATTTTTTTAATGAGGTAGAAAGAGCAGATTCACTTTTTAAGGATTTTAATGTGGAAATTGTACTTTTGTTGCAAAAAAACCCCACACATATTAGACACACATTATTGTTCCAAGCTGACTTTTGGTACATATCTTATTACATGTCTGAAGTGGATCTTTAATTACTTGCAATAAGAATCTGTTCATCATGTACGGATCCAACCAATGTTGATCGTTTACACATAATGCCAACCCTTATTTAAATGCCACACTAAAATCTAAACGACATACTATTCATAATCTGACATTGCATGTTGGCAACACTGACAGGCCTAATAAAGTAATTTAAATATATCCGACAGTACATGAAAGCAGCGAAATGCAGGCGGTAATCTGAATATTTTGCAGGATAATTTGAATTTAAAGACATTAAACTCCATAAAAAGTTATACAGTTTGTCTTACGACCTCCTATATTTCCACTGCACCTCAAGAAAAAGAGTTGAAGGTATTGTTAAAACTTTAAGAACACCTCACAGATGAAACAGAAACCTACAGGCCTGTGCTCACTATGACCTGTGTTGGTTTAACATGACTCAACACTGCCATCTAGTGGCACAATGTATTTTTACAATCCACGGCACTTGGACTATTTCGATCTCTTTTGACATGATGTATAATAGGCCTAACATTTGTTTCTGATGTAACTGATTTATGCGTGTCTGGCTAGGATGTTTCATGTTAAAAGTATATGTGAGAAAAGTGTTCGTTACAGTGTCAGCAGTGTCCTTTTTGTATCAAACCTTTTTGTAATCGACCTTATTTTTACCTTTTGATTTATTACACCAGTTTCTTCATGTTGTTGACCTTGTTTTCTCATTGATTCATTCAGTAATTTGGATCAGGAAATAAAAAGAAATGCGTCATTAACCAAATGAGGTTAGGCTGCTCTTACGAAACATGTGTGATATAATACGTGTTCTAGGGCACAAGACAAAAGAATATAAAGTATGAAGTCAGACCAGATTCAAGTATGCTTCCAGTGGCTGGTTTATCGCTGTCTCACTATATGATTTGTATTGCCACAGGCTGAATGAAAACTATTGTTGTTTTGAGAAAATGAGCATGGTCTGAAATTGGTAATAAATAAATAAATAAATAAATAAATAAATAATAGTAGTAGTAATTAAACAAGAGAGTGGTAATGCAACATGAATAATCCACAGGAATACAATGTACTAAAATCATATAAATGTTAAATATTATCAGGGATCACTGATTCCATTATTACCATGGAGATAAATCATTTACTGAACCTTTTGAAAAAACAACAACTTGTAGCAGAACATGTTTCTTTTACTCTTTAATTCTTTTATTTTCATGTAATAAGATGGTTTCTTTTCCTAGTAGCAGTTTAAAATCAGTTGAAACAGGGTGTAACAGTGCATTGTACATTATCTAAATGTACTAAATGTAGCCTGGTGATTGGGTTTCAGTGCAAAATGGGAACAGGAACAAATATTGTCAAACTTCTTTTGTCAGAAAGATAAAAGCAACAGTGAGATAATGATCCTAAAAAAGTCCTTTTTACATATCAAACCATTATTTCAATGAGAATATGAAAACCACAGCACAACCCGTCTGTGTCCACTCATCGTCTGGAATCCAACTGTGCGTTGAACAATTACCGACAGAATCACTCTCCACTCGATGCGAACTATCCAAAGAAGACACATTGGACAGAAATATTCAAATTTATCTCTGAAATATAATTACAGTCACAATGAGAGCAAACACACAAAGGAAACATGACAAGAATATAATACATTTTACTCCTTTAATATATGCTTTATATGATATATGTTATATGCACTTATAACACCTCCACCTTGCATCATATGTGGGTTTTAATAGAGGGTTTTAAAGGTGGGCTGTTAACACCGGTAAACAATGCCAAGAAAATACAGCTAGAAGATGCATGTTAATGTAAACAAGTAAATGCATATGCTTATGTACCCTATTTATCCAACTTATGACCACAAACATGGGGTCAATAGGGGCCCACAGGCCCTCGAAGGCCCCATAGTTGGTAAATATGGTCATAAATGTCTGCTGCATGTGTTTTTACTTTATTTCTCAGTTTTCAAATAAATGAAAAAAAATCACATTTGACCTTCAGATTACAGTATTTATTGAGTGTTTGGACAGTAAAAGAGGTAAACATATGACCAGCAGGAGTCGCCAATGTGCACATTGCACAGCACTTCAATCAATGTTCGAGTACTTGACTTTGGATGCCTCCATTTAAACAAAGTTACAATATTCACTCTAACAAAACTAAAATCATAATAAATCAGCTAAAGAAGTTCACCTTCACCTGTTTTTGTACATTCAGACCATGAAGAAAAAAACGACTACAGCAGTGAAGAAACATAATGAATGCATTTTTCCTCAAAGTGATTCTCTCAGTGATTTACAACAATCTTATAAAACACTATACTTGTAATGTTTCTTTATTTTTACCCCTCATATCAAGGAATTAAGGAAATGTATTTATCATTGTACAACATAAGGTTGTATAACGAAATAAAAGTTAGCAGTTCCTTCATTTTACACACATAGAAAAGGATAATTCGACATAGAAATAAAATCAAAATGTCATTTCATTGTAATTAGAAACATTTCATCATCGTCTCATCTCATAATGTCCACACTCAGTGTAAGAACTTGAAGGTTCACCGGTGTCAAAATAAATCATAGTATGAAAATACGTTATAATGCCACTATGGGCGGCTCGTGTCCAACCCTACCGACTGTATGACTCGTGATGCAGTGTTATCCATGATACACACTCTCACACACAAGTGGCCTGTGCATTCCGTTCTACCCCGGCGCTCATTGGCCAGCCAGCACGCCCGTCATATTTCCCCAGCCTGAACTTGTGTCTGATTGGCTGGAGGGGCACCTACGGCGGTAGCACCAACGCCATTGGTTGAAAAACTAGGTTAGTGGTCCGACAGGCATGACGGTGAAGAGAAACTGGGTCACCGATCGAAAATCGTTTATGTCACAGTTCTGTGGGCTGCTATTACATATTACCGGCGGCTTTCAATGGACGGACTAATCTCATAGGACCCACTGTAAGTATACAAAGAACACGAGCCTACGGCGTATCGGTATTGCATGTTGGTGACGGTGCTGGGCTTTAATTCATGATGGATACCGTCGATGTTTTCCCAGCGCTGTGGTCATGTCACTGTGGTTTTCTAGAGCAGGAGGAGGGACGTTAGCTCGCTGGCCAACTCTTGACAGTTAGCGTTTCTTCGCTAACGTTAGCAGCTGTATGCTAATATTAGTCAACGGGACTAAAGGCTGTTACGGACCAAAGGTAGGAGGGGGAAGCGCCCCCGGTGTGCCAGGCTAGCTTTAGGTGTTGTCCGCTAACACCGGGGCTCCGAGGAAGCTCGTGCATCGGTGAGTACCGGTCCGCGGGTTTGTGAAACGTTAACTTAACGTGACCCGAGTGCGGGCGACTCACCGAACAATGCTATGCAACGCTAGCACGCTAGCGATGTAAACAGGCCTTGGTGGTTTCTTCGACAGCATCCATCCCGCCGTGGTGTCTCCTCGGATTACACAGTAACGCGTGGTCGCAACCCCCAGCGACACCTGAACAGCAGGCCACTGTTTGGTTCTGAAACATCGAGAGCCTGTGTTGGCTTTGGCAGTGGAAATGTGGCGAGCGCTCGGTTTCTGCAGTGTCCGCAGTGGTTGCTAAAAGATGATCATCGTGATATTGGGCTCTGGGATTTGGTTACATTGTGCACCAGCTACAATCAGTGCCTTTCGTTGTGTGTTGTTTTTTTTTTTAGAAGCAGGGATGCTAAACTTTGGCTCATGGCGCACAGGGTTTGGTGTGGAGGTGTCCAACAGGAGGAGGGATCGTTGCTTCTCATTGTCATTTATTCGTCTGAGTCATAAATTGCTCACCAGCATGAATCCTCACAGATGGGATTTTTTTTTAACACACAGGCTTTTCCAGTGGGTGTCCACTGTGAATGTGAATTGTGAACAATTCTGCCAATTGCTGATGAACAGTGTACAGTGGCATTTATTTCTGTGTCTATTTTAAGAGGTTTGAATAGCTTTTGGTATTGGCTGGATTGTTGAATGTTTCTGATTTCTGTCCAGATCTCTCTCATAAATCAGCCATAGTGTTATCAGTAGTTTATGCATTAACCTTCTCATGACAAGAGAGACATCCTCTTTGAACTTCAGACTTGGACTGACAAGTGTTGTTGTTTTTACTCATCGACAGGTAGCAACCTACATTAGTGTTTATCACTTGATCAATGTTGCCACGAGGGCATTTTGATACCAGAAGTTTGTTGTGAGGACTCAGCAGCACCGCAGTTTACCACCGTGTTGATCATAAAGATCAAACGACAAACTAGGGCTGCACAATTAATCAGAATATAACCGAAATCACAATATAGTGTCCAACGTCCAAACAACATTTGAATGAATTACTTTAGTGCTGCAAATCTTGTTTTCCAGATGTAAGAAATCAATTCTAGCTGGGTTTTTTTTCTCTGAAAATAAAAAATGGAGTGATGCAAATCATTCGCACCAATCGTGAATAATATCACAGTCGTAATATCTGTCTAAATGGTCGCAGTGTGACTTGTTTTACTATATTGCGTGTCCTTAAACTATTGTTCAGAGGTTGATGAGATGGGGAAACATTAGGAAAAAGACATGTGACAAGACGGCATATTATGGGTTTTTACATGTTTTTTGTACAGGTTAAATGGACAATATACAGCGTGTTAGTTACTGCACTTAACTTGCAGTTGTCGTTAGGCGGATCTCGTTGTCCTTGGTGAGAGCCACGCAAGCTGCTTCCCTCGTCTCCAGTCTTTATAGTAACGTACTGGCTACTGGCGGTTGCTTCGTATTTACTGAACAGACATTACACCGCTCGGACGGTTTGTTTGTTTTTCCTGTGCTGTGAGAACGGTGCTTATGTCAGGATATGGGCATACATATGGTCACAGGTGAGTCGTGTATGGCTGTAAATCCTTTGGGGTTAAATCTTTGTTGGGTCAGACAAAAGCAGCAGCTGTGGTGAGCTTGTTAGATGGAAGAGCCGCAAGTAGGGGCTTTCTTCGGTTTGGATGACGTCAGACTTCTCACACATCATCGAGGTAAACAACACCTTTAATTGGGCCACTCCTGGCATATGGAAAATGATTGGCTCCATGCCCGCGTCACAGGCTCTGCCCATGGTCGCTCTGGCACACTTTTCCAGAGTGGAAGTGTTTGAAGCGGCATTCCAACTGCTGATATCACCCACATGGATGCAACTGATAAATCTGCGCCAGCTTTGCAGAATGCTGTTTAATCTATGCTTCCTCGCTCAACTTCTTAACGGTTGACGATAAGGTGTGAAATAATCATCGTTCCTTACAACACGCCGCTGCAGTTTAATTTTGGTGAGTCTTTTTGCAGTCTGTAAAGACGAATCCACTCCTCAAAGAAGCCGTGCAGCGTCATCGCCACACCAGAAGATGCAAATTCAAACCAAAATCATCTCATCTCACGTCATCTCTGTGCCTGTGGAGCTCAGTTGTGGCATTCGCGTTGCCCCGCTCCTCTGTAGTGTGCAACTGCATTCAGTTAAAACGTTAAAAACACACCGTCTTTCATCCCGTTGAAGCGATGTGACCCCTAGCGTTCAGGTCACTCTTGCTAAGTTCAAGCTGACTAGGGGTCTAATCAGAAAGATTAACTGACAACACCTGTGTGGGTGTGCAGGGACTTAAGGTGCTTCCAGACAGCGGCAGCAGCAGGGTGCAGTGCTGGGGCCTCCCAGCTACCTCCGACTATAATCTCATCATGCAGCTAAACACAGCAGATTGTAGCTTCAACTAGAGGAAATGGTCAGCAATATGACATGATTAACGGAGCATGTTTTGCTCATTACTGTCATAAACATTTATTAGGGGTGTAATGGTGGAAAAAAGTCCTGGCATGGCGTGTACCTCGGTTTGGAGGGCAGTGTTTTCGGTACAGCAGGGCAAAAAGAAAATGCAGAAAATGACGTTGGTATCATTTAAATTTAAACATGAAACAGTGCTGCGTTTGCCATAATTCTTACTGAAGCAGTTAAGGGACTCAAATACAGACATATTGTTATAAGAAGAAGAAAAAAAGAACAAAATTGTCAGTAACGCCCCTGGCGTGAGACCTCTCCGCACTTGTTTATAACCAGGGCCAAGCAACAACGGATAAACAAAGTAAAAACACACACTTGAAAGACATCATTGTATGCTCAAGCCACTTTGACCAACGTTCTGGTCTGGTCACATAGCTGCAGCAATAAACATTCCTATAGCATTAGTTATTGCTGTGGCACAGTCTGGATCTGCAGTGAGGAGGAGGACTTGCCTGGCAGTCTGTTTTTGTCTCGTTCCACTCAGTAACACATTTGGGTGATCCTGTTGTAAGTGACTTTACATGAAGTGTTCCCGCAGACATTCTTCAGTTTTGGCACTTGACAATTTTGGCATTCAGTTGTCCATCTTCACTGTGTGTTTGCCATTGATGGCGGCAACACTATATGAGGTTGGCTAACCGGGCTAATCCGACGAGCATGGTACAGCTCATTGACAACAACTGGTTTCTCACGTGAGTATGTAGACGTAAATAGACTGCTTTGAGGTGTGTGCACTTCGGGGAACCAGGATACCAGTAAAATAGATCTCTTCACTCTCTGTGGTTCCTGTGGTTCCTGTGGTTCCAGTGGTGACATGGCGAGCCACGGCGACAAGTTTAAAAAGAAGTTGAACCATGATGAACTCTGAATGCAGCGGCAAGAAGCCGTGCTCATTCATGATAGCTGCAGCCGCCCTCCCCTCTCAGAGGTGACGCTCACTGTGTGAAAGCACCTTCAGTTATTCAGATATCAGACGCTTTGAAGAACGCCTCCAACCGATACGGGTGCTCTGGGTGCTGTTGCTTTGTTTTGTGAGTTGCTGTGTGATTCCCCAACCTTGTCCACCCAGTAAAGAAGCTGCCGTTTATTACACATTGACAAGTGCATTTCACAGTGACCTTGTTACACTGGCAGTCTGCACCGAGAATGCACTAGGCTCACTGAATGTGGCCGGTGGTCAGGGACATACGACGACATACGAGGGATGTCACGAGAGGCCATACTTCGGTAAGTTGATGGCAAAGTTCTGATAACCAGACGGCACTGATTTTGCTACAGTACTGTGGTTTTTCAAAAAGGATTCCATTCGTATAATTCCACCTCCATTAGAAATATATATATATATATATATATATATATATATATATATATGACGAGTTTCTCTTTCATTCTGTTTTCATGATCACGGCTTGTATACTAGTTTGATGAAGTTGGTTGCGATTCTTGAAAGCGTGATTTTTCACAGCTGCTGCACTGAAAATGTCAGTTAGTCAAATAGATGCACAAGCTTGGACTCTTCTCACCGCTGACTTCGCTATGTTTGTGATTACTTAACAGTTAACTGATTGCACAACAGCTCTCCCTTATGCACACATTTTTATTTGTATTGATAAGCATTGGCATCTTCAAGGATAGCAATAAAATCTTTCCCCACCGCTCCAGAACTGTTTCCATCACTGAACAAGGCTTGTGATTTGTGAGATTGGACCTTCTGCCTGGATGTTTCCTTGGTTCATGAACCGGCTTGCTGGCTGCTTCCTGACTGTGTGAGTGGGTGTGTAGAGCAGGGAAACGGAGCTGAATGGCTTGCTGACTCACTGATGAAGTAGAAGTAGGTGGTGGATGGAAATTGAGGCTGGCTGGTTTTGAGACCATAGAGACTGGCTGACCCAGTTTCCACTCCAGCACCAGCTCCTTTCAGTGTTCAATCATGACATAGTGGTTTTCCCCTTCTAGCCCAGAGCTTTGTCCCAGTAAAAGAGCTCACCGGGCCTGTCCTGACCTAGTACTCTGCTGCCTGATACTTCAACAGTGCTTCTTGAGCTTTGCATTTTGTTGCCACTGCACATTAAGCATTTAGGCGACCCACAAAAGTGACTTTTTTCAAAACCCTCACAGGAAGCAGTCGCAGTTTCTCTGACTGGCTTTTATTGTGTCGTCATTTTTCCTTAATAAACATTGTACAGTCTTACATTATTAAGAATACTGGATTGTGTAATAGTGTTTTCTTTTTGGATGGGGTACTGTAGCTTCTTGTTTGTCTGCATGCACCATGGCTTCACACTGTGTTCTACTACTACTACTGATGAAAATCTAGTAGTAGTAGTAGTAGTAAGATGCCGATTTTCATCAGTAACAGTAAATAAAAGTCCCAAAACAGCATGTTAAATAAACAAATGGTTAAGGCAAGCATGACTCCTACTTGAGTAACCTGAACGTCTCACCAGTGGAGGTTATACCTCTACAGGACTGTTCATCCATGCAGTTGACTGTTTGCCAACAGCCTGAACAGTGATTGTCCAATCACAGCTGTGCAACAAAATATGACTGAAAGGATTCCCTAGACACCACTAAACCCTACACACTGGTCCTTTTAATTAAGCGTCAGCTGAACTGGCTGGCTACATCTGATCAAATCTGCCAATTACTATTTTAGCTGATAAAATCAACAATCACAGGCTATAAATGAGATTCGAATGACAAAGAAATTTGAAAACTGCGCATGTGCTGTGCGAGAATGGCCATCACTATAGTCAGCAGCAGTATCAGAGGGGCTGTTGGAGCCCGTTATGGGATAGTCTAGAATTCCAGGTCAAGTAATCCCTGCCATTCATATTGAGTTACTACTAATAAGGAAATTGTCAGTCGGCTTTGAAGTGTTAACATTGAGGAATCATGTCAGGTTTGCATACAAGTTTTAGAGAATATAGAAAATCTGCTTTGAGCTTTTATCTGTGCATAATGGAGCTTCAGGAAATGATTCAATTAGCCCAGATTCAGTTATGACATTTTTCAGGTCAGCAGGAGCGGCCAACATTGTGTGTTCCGTATTTTGCTTTTAATCAAGTTTTGTCATCTTACGTGTAAATAATGTACTCTACACTGTATGTGTTCCTGTTTATATCCTACATTTGTGAAAGATTAGATTTCCACCTGACTGACCTCACGCTTCGTCTCTCTCCAGGTGTAGACGGGTTGCAGCAGCTCCTTAAGGATCAGATCATATCGGGGCAGAGTGACCACATCGAACTGGATGAAACTAGGTCAGGCTGAATCAAACCAGACTCAAACCAAATCAGCACAAAGCAGACCAGACTGACCCAGACAATACCAGGCCCGTCCAGGAGACCTGTTCCAGTTTCCTATCCAGGTAACTGATGCAGCTCTGTTGTCCATGTGCAAGCTGTTCCCACTCATATTTCAGTGAGCTGAATTTGAACCAAGGAAGGCTGCCCACTGATCCTCTGCATCCGCCTGACTCACGGGAGAACTGCCAGAGAGTTGAATACATTAACAGAAAATACGTGTAATGTTTGGTACTTATTCATCCTGTCAAGTTTACAGGGTCCTATAATGGCAGCTCTCAAAAGCCTGATGGTCATTGGAGTTGTTTTTAAATAGGTGAACTTTTTGTAAGCGTAAGTGTTTTGTAAGTTTACCTCCCAGTGTAAAAAAAAAATCCAATCCAAGTTTAGTGTGTCAGCAAGTGCACGGAAGATTTGAAGGAAAAGGAAATAACACGGTGACAGCTAGGTGGAATTGCAGAGTTTGCAAAGTAATGCCCACTAGGGACTTTGTAAGTACATTTCCATCTCCATTATCCATCCATATAACTGAGTCGAACAAGCCATGAAAGTGCATTGTTGTTAATCCTTGCTGCTGGCTGGTATTTACCAACACTGGCAAGTTGGGAGCTTTATGCTGACTCATCCACGATGCTGTGGTAAGGCAACTATTTGTCAAATCAGTAATGTGCTGAAATTCTATTCCACCAGTGTTGATAGTATGGACAATTTAAGCAAATTTGTGCTGTGTTGTGATTCATTTAACTCAACAACAGACCAAGCACACCAACTGTCTAATTAACTTATTAAAGAGTAACTTAACAACTTCTAAAAAAACGTTTTCTCTTACATCCAGTGGTTCCATTTCTCATCTTCGCCCCAATGATGTAGAACTGTACTTCAGGGTGTTTCAGTACACTGTGACATCACTTTTGGGTGTGGTAATGAAAGATGAAACAGTTGTGCCATTAGCAGAGTGTATATGCAAATTGACCTAAAGACTGATATCTGTAACTGGTCAAGAATATAAAATGAACGATATCCTGAACCATATGATGGAAAATTAAAATAGACCTTTTCTATGTGGATTGTGCACAAATAGGACTATGCAAAGGGAGGCTGCTTTCTTAAACAAATAACTTAAGGAAATGTTTCTTTAACATGTTAAATCATTTAAAATATTCATTGTCAACCAATTCTAGTTGACACTACTTTCTTACTCTGTGCTGCTTGCAGTGCGCTCTGCTGGATAAACTTGCAGTATAATACCAATATGTGCGCGATGTGCAGATATATCAGTCGGGCAGCTCGTGGTTAACCGATAACGGTTGGCATCCCTGACTGGAACACCGACGCATCACCATGACTTACATTTCTTTCTTTCATGTAGCTGATATTGTATGACCTAAATCTCCTTGAAAAAAAAAAAATCAAGTGTGAGATATTTGTTAATCTGCAGAGACAGTAGTGGTTTCCTGTTTATTCTGCCTCCACATTTGACCTAGATGGCATGATGTTTGCCGCACGTGTCCAGGTAACTGTAACTGCGTATGTGTTTTCTTTCAGTGTTCTATTTTTTTTTTTGTCGTCTGCATAATTTCATCATGACTCCCGCGGAGACTGACAGTTATTTGTAACCGTGGTGTTTTTGTGTGTTCACAGTTGAGGGCTCAAGAGTGGATGGAAGGAGATGATTTTAACACAGAGGCTGTGATGAACATCTGTGGTGAGTGTGACGTCATAATAATGTCCCTTTTAAACAGGGACACTCCCTGTTACAACAGCAAATGTTTTTGACTCATCCTAAGGGATATCTATTATCTGTTTCCTTCTGTGTGTCAGCACTCTCAGTGGTTTGCAAATGTTTTTAACTTTTCCCCTAAAACTTCTGTCTGCTTGCCTGAAACTCACCCAACTGCAGATATTTCCACCGAGGCCGCTGTGATCTTGACCTTTTAAATTTTATAAGGGTTTCTTGTCACCAAGTTTTGCGTTCAGTAAAGATAACATGACTAATCTCAACATGCCTTGGTTCTTAGTGGACAGTTTATTTACATATTTAAACACACCTATTACAATCAGCAGCCCCTCATGAGTATGTGTTTTCATCTGCTGACATCAGAGCATGTGAGTGGAGTACGAGGATTTTGGATAGAGCGCAGAGCAAATTTTTTGAAGTTAACTTGGAGCATCGCCATATGTCCTGCTCCATCCTGCTCCAGTTTCACTCTGGTATGCGTTCCCCTTATCACTGGCACCACTGTACGTGTCCCCAGGATCAACCATTTCAACGCTTCCCATTCTTTGCCAATTCGCATGCAAGCGTGAGCCTGGCTGTACAGAATTGCATTTCTCTGCGCCTGGTCAACACGCTCCTCTGCTCTTTTCTAATCACACGTACAGCTGGTCTATTTAATAACCTCAAGAATGATCTGATCATGGATAAGAGGGGGAATTAAAAGAACCCTCTTGTGTGATGATCTGCAGGAAGGGTCTTCGTGTGTGTGTGCTCTGTATCCCCGCTGTGACACACAGCTTTATCATACAGCTTGAACATGGTTAAGCTAAAATTACACTACACAGCTTTTTTTTTTGTTTTCCATGCAGGAGCAGGGAGTGGAATTTCTCGCTGCTCCACTTGACATGCATTTTAATTAATATCCATGGAAACAGTTTGTACTGCACTGTTCCCTTACCTGTTGACGTAGGAGCCTGCAAACCTCATGTTTTGTGGCCATGTAAAGAAATACCACACAGGCCTGTTTCTTTTATTTCTACTCCATAATTTACCCGCCCACAGTACAAGAACAGTTGTCCGTTATTACAAAACACCTGTGCCCCACCCACTCCCTACCTACTCCATTCAGAGAACCCATCACTGGTAAGAATGAATCACAAAGGTTTTTGTCTTTGCCCTGCAGATGACCTGATGGCAGACCAAAGGATGGACATCTCGTCTACAATGACTGACTTCATGTCCCCCAGCTCCACCGACCTCATCTCCAGCTCCATCAGCACACCTGGCATGGACTACACCCGCAAGAGGAAGGGTAGCACCACCGATTACCAGTAAGGACACCGGGAAGGAGGGACAGAAGGAGAAAATTGGGGCGGGGGGGGGAGTGAGAAATAATGAGAAATGAAATGCAGATGAAACTAAATAATACAAAGGCAACACGTGGCTTAAAAGAAAAAAAGTTGGAGAGAAAGACAGGAGGAAGGTAGGGGATCAGAAGGAAGGAAGGAAAGAAAGATAGAAAAACAGCAGCATTTCTGGCCTCATTAACCTCACGACTGATTGAAGTTTAGAATCTTTTGAATGAATCACTCGTGTAACTGTTTTGGCTGTGCAGTGTCTGTCACATTCCCTATGAAACGGTGTGTCCTATCAAACACTGTCAGCCAGTGTTGCTTTTCACACCTTACACATTATAAATAATCACATTTCCCAATACCTCCACGACAGAAACTAATCATTCAATTTGTGGTTTTTTTTGCAGAATTGATGGCTTCTCATTTGAGTAAGTTCAACCACGACTCCATGTTAATAGGTTCAGCACAAAGTTTAATTTATCAAAATCTGAAATCTCAATGACCTGAAATGAATTGATGTTAGAATAAACTGGAAAACACACGTACTGAACTCAGTGAACCCTCCTGCTTTAACTTTTCTGAAGTGCTGTGGTTGTTTGCTGTAACTAACACCTCCTGTCTTTTCCTCCTCAGTGACATGGACCCAGACAAAGATAAACTGGGAAGGTAAGAGGCCATCATTACCATGGTGATAAAGCGGGTCCTTTAATCTTCAGTATTGCTGTATTTACTAAAGTTGTATCCCATTCCCTGCTGCTGAAACGGTCCAGTTTCCATTTTAAATCAGTCAAACCCAACAAACGGGTTGGTTCACCCAAATCAGAAGAATCATATATTTGTTAAAGCAGATAGTTTGGGTTTCATTCGTCTCTTGAGAGGGTGACAGCACACCAGTACAATGAAGGTAGATGGAATTTTGTTTGCACTTGTTAGCACCCACAAAAACATCAGTCATGTCAAGAGATAGAATAGTTAAAAATAATGTACATGTTTAATTACCATTACTGTTGGACTGCTAGCCAATATAATAATCGTATGCTCCCACAGCTGCCTCTGGGTGTTCAGTGGCAAGGAGAACATCTTCTGTAGCACCCAACAGTGTAACATCACTTCTAATAGAACACATCCCTCATGGATTTCCGTGACATATAGACCTGACTGCCTCCTATTTTAGATATGGATCACTTTGCTTCAGCAAGACATAGTTTGTCATCTAATTTCATGTCAGACTTTTCATCATTTCTGTCATGGTACAGCTCCGCAGTGACACACAATGTTGACAGCTGTAGTAATATTTTCTGACTCTGCTGAAGATGTTGATTTCCAACAGCAGGACTTCAAGCTGTGTAGCACTGTGAAGTTGTTGTGAATGAGTCTTGCCTGCAAATAAGAGCGGACCATGCAGCCTTGTCAGTTATTCTGAAGATCAATTTTTTTTTTTCAGAACGCAGACTCACTTACAAACAGGTGGCATTTCCATCAAGTTACCAGAAGCCATTTTTAAGACAAATGTATGCGGTTAGGAGGAGTTTGCTGGATTGTACAAGTAAAACTTATGGGGGAAAAAAACCAAAAAGGCTCTTGGAAACATTGCTGTTAGTTCCACCAAGTGACACTAATGGATATCTCAAAACCGGGACAAACACAACAAACTGTCTGCAGACTAGATATTACTAGGTAAATTAGATTTTCTTTTCTTTTGTAATTTGGGTGAACTTCTCCTTAAGTGGAGTTTAACTGGTCTAAAAGAAAAACTGGATAACTGAAACCTTTAATTTCAACTGTAGAAGTCTAGGAAAACCAAGGAACCTTTGAGTCTGTGTGGGATGGGAGCATTTTGCAGTGTAGTGAGCATTGTTACACTTTATATAACTGTGCTTGTGAGAGAGAATGCGAAGAGGTTTAATCAAAACCACGTCATATTTGTATTACATCAGTCATCAGATTGTACAGTCAGATATAACCCCAGAGCATTATGCTTGTTGCATAAGCTTTGATTCTGTTTAAACCAGCAAATGAGGTTGGTTACAGAACCTGTGAGTTTAGCCGTGGCCCCATTTCCTCCCTCCCTTTCCTTTCCTCGCTCTCTAAAATAACCCCTGTGTCATAAATTTATACCTCAAAAGTTTTTTTTCTTTCCTTCTTGCCGTTTTCAACCCTCTCTAATGTTTCCTTGTTTGTCTCTGCAGTGACCAACAGGGCCGGATTAAGAATGCCAGGTATAAAAACTCCCTTTCGTTCTCTCTCTTACTCTCTCATTCACCCTGCCTTCTAATCTCTCTTACATGAATTAAATGTCACTCTGTCTGATTGGGAACAGAGAGAGCTTTGTGTACGTTGATAATAAGAAACTTTATACATTGAAGTGTATAGATCCGAGCATTATGTGGGACTAAGGGACTGTGAGAGCATACCTAATGGCTAATGACAAGCTCTCTTTCTCTTGCGTGCAAAGAATTCTCCCTTCAGTAGCAGCTAGTGGAGGCAGAACAGACAAGTTGGATAGACCCTCGGGTGTGTTCTTACAGTCCTGAAGGATAGACTCAGCACCAAAAATGGCATTTCATCTGTCATCTACAGAGAGGAGTTTTTTCTTAGCGTTGAGCTAGCTGATTTACATCATGTTAGATAAGACTGTGAGGTGATGGATAATCCGCAGTGCAAGAACGCAGCCCATTGAAGGGTAACATGCCCGATTTGCATTCTTGCAGCATGCAGTGTTAGGATTCTGTTTTTTAAAGAGCAGGTGAAATGCAACCAAAAAGATTTTTGCATACGTTTTTTTTTAGTTGGACTAATGCCAGCAAGGTGGGAAAGAGGAGAATAATCTGTGTAAAATCTCCGTCTGCTAACGTCTGGTGCTTCTTCCTCCACAGAGAGGCTCACAGCCAGATCGAGAAGCGTCGCAGGGATAAGATGAACAGCTTCATCGACGAGCTCGCGTCACTGGTGCCCACCTGTAACGCCATGTCCCGCAAGCTAGACAAGCTGACGGTTCTGCGCATGGCTGTCCAGCACATGAAGACACTCAGAGGTTAGGATGAACTAATAAAATCACTGTATTTTGTGCCTGGATAGTAACTGCCTGAAAATAATACTGCCAACATATGATATTCACATAGTATACACAACTGTCAAAAGAGCGTGAGGTTTCTTTTTTGACATATTGACAGCTCTTTGGCAGAGCTTACCATTTCTGAATGGGACAATAGAAACTGCATCAGAGATAGAAGTGCGAAGATTAATCTTGTCAGTAAGTCAATTAGCAAAAACAAGCATTTTTAAGTGTCATGTTCAGCTCTGGGATGGTCATTTTTCACAATGCAATGAGATTTAACTGACAAAATGATTAAAGCTAAGAAAATAACAGGTAGATTAATCAGTACCAGGGCTGCCAGATATGGTTACAAAAAATATATATTGCAATTATTTTTCAGTATGATGGACGATTAGTGGGAATGATCATTTTTGCATCACAATTTTAATTTTCACTGAAAAGAACTACTAAAATCACGATGATGTGACTTTTAATCAGTCACTTTCAATTTCAGTAATTTTTTTGATTATTTGTGCCGCCCTGATAATTAGGAGGGAATGTATTAGTAAATAGCAAATAATCAATGATTCCCTTGGTACTGAACAATCCTGTTGTCCATCTACAAATATACAATAGCAAAAATCTTGTTTACTTTTGTGTGCAGGTGCAGCCAACCCGTACACAGAGGCCAACTACAAGCCCTCCTTCCTCTCAGATGATGAACTGAAGCACTTGATACTAAGGGTGAGTGCAGAACAACAGATTAGGTATGCAACACTTAAAGGTCCAGTGTGTAGGATTTAGTGGCATCTAGCAGTGTAGTTGCAGATCCCAACTCCCTCGCTTCACCCTCCCCTTCCAAGCACAAAGGGGGAAACTACTGTGGTTACAAAAAAAGTAGAACGACTTTATCTAAAGCCAGTGTTTGGTTTGTCTGTTTTGGGCTACTGTAGAAACGTGGTTCAACACAACGGCGTCCATGTAAGGTGTTATGAACATTTATATGTATATTATATTCTATTTGTGCCAATAGACCCTCCTACATGTTACACACTGGTCCTTTAATGATGTGCAGTTTTAGTGGTACATTGTTAAGTAACCTAGATAGACAGCACAATCCTTTATTCATCATGCAGTCTATAACATACTCACTTTATTTTTATCAAAGCACCAAGCTGTATGTTATAGAGCTAAATCATACTGTATCTTAATACTGGACCAAAATAGGAATTTTTAAAGAATTTATATCATTTTCTTAATGAAAGAAATATATTTTTTGAATTTCCCCATGTTTATTCCAGTGTTGTGTGTGTGTTGAATAATGCAGGCTGCTGATGGTTTCCTGTTTGTGGTGGGGTGTGACCGTGGAAAGATCCTCTTTGTTTCTGAATCAGTCTACAAGATTCTCAACTACAGCCAGGTACGCCGACAGTGTTAATGTGCATTAACTGCTTTATACCCAGAAGGCTGGTGTGAAGTTGTTAAAGCTGCTCAACCATGAAAGACTTGGCGCATGTTTCATATTTGCTTTGTTTTGATTCTGATAGTGGTGAAAGGATGATAAAATCATTCTTACCAGTCAGCATAATTTCATCACCCTGAATAATCAGATTCAAGCAGCAGATCATTTAAACTTTCTTACTCAAGTTGGAAATTGTGTCTGCCTCAGCAGTTCAGTTTTGAATTAAAGGTTTAAGTTGCCTTGCAGTTTCCCAGAAAAGCTACCACATCAAATAATTGAAATAGAATTGCACCAGTGACGTCAGAAGTGTGAAGAAGAAGTTGTTTGCAGAAGTGGATGTTTAGAGTAAGTAGTTGTGTACTTGTCGGTATTGTTTCCTGTTTGACTTCATTCCCTTTGTTCTCTCTCTGTCTCTCATCCGCCGTCTCCAGAATGACCTGATAGGTCAGAGCCTGTTTGACTACCTTCACCCCAAGGACATAGCCAAGGTCAAAGAGCAGCTGTCCTCTTCTGATACGGCCCCTCGAGAGAGGCTCATTGACGCTAAAAGTAAGCAAGTCCAAATATGCATCATCTCTTGTGTAAAATCCAGAATCCGTTGTGTTTTCTTCCCTCCACCCTGAGTTTATGTCCTCATCTGTGCTGTCCTTACCAGAGAAAACTGTAGCTGTCAGCAATCTCAAAGCTGCCTTCTGACATCAGTAATAAAAATATTTATAGTCAATTTCAGTACCTAGTTGTATTGTCTATTGTTAACCAAAAAACAAACACTTTGCTGCAGCTGTATATCTCTGTTTTGTGCACAGGGTTTCTTTGTACTGCAATTTAAAGCAATGGTACCCCATTGATGGAGTACTTACAGTTTGTATCACAGAGACCTCCTCCTATTATTGTGGCTGGAGATTCAGCTTCGGGTACCAAAGATTATGCAAACAATAGCATGATTTGATGCTCCTCTGGGATATTTGAGCTTTAATTTTGTAATTTGGCAAAAGGAATTTTACAGAAAAGAGGAAGGAAGTCTGACAAGAAAATGGTGCAAAATTGAACCCCCATACAGAGGAACAATGGCTAGAAATGGTTAAAATAAATTTTCTTAATGTTGTTTTTTAAGACCGCAAACACAGCTGGAGGAAAAATAAGTGAAATGGGCGTCATTTAAGACTAAAAAATAGAGGCACCGAAAGTACAAAGAGCAATTGAATTTGGCTACATGTTAGTTTTCTGTGGTTGGAACATTGTAGACAATAAAAATAATGTTTTGAAAGCTTCTGACTGAAAGTGAAATATATATATATATATATA